CCATACGTTTGGCTCTAAATTCCACAGATTTAAACCGAGGTGCTCCAAAATCAGTATGATCGATCATTATCCACCCCCTGAACAGGAAGCCATGATAAGTGGACAATAGACTCCACAGCGCCCCCTAGAATATTTTAAAACCTCAGCCCCAAGCCATTTTTGGACCGATTATTCTGAAACTCGGCAAACATTTTTATCTTCTCTGGACCTATGAAAAAGTCTCTTGGAGCCTTTGTCCAAAACCAACAGGAAGTCGGTCATTTTGGTTTAAAGGGTCTTTTTTGGGCATTTCTAATTGCGAATTTTTCGAACTCCTAGGGATTTTCAAGGATTGCCTTCAAACTTGGTTAATATGCCCTTAACACATTGGGGAGTAAAACTTATCAAAAGCTTGCATTTTCATGTATGTTAAAGGGGCGTGGCCAGGCCTCAAAGTTGCGCTTCACGCCATAAATTTCCAAACGCTATAACTTTCACATTGAAATGCACAAAAATTGGCATGAGTCATCCCTGTTGGATGCCCGACAAACTTCTGTGGTCATATTCTGATGTCATCAAAGCCCCGCCCCCTCAGAACAGGAAGTCACTTTTTTTTTTACTTGTAATGCTCCCTCTCTGACACTCTTGATCTAATCAGGATGATCCTGTGTTAGAAGACGTATAACAAGTTGGTCTGATTTGCTTTAAATTACAAACAGTTTTTGAAGGAGGATGTGGGCGTGGCCGCGTGATAAATTCAGAAGTGACGCCGTTGCAATACGTTTGGCTATAAATTGCACAGATTTGAACCGAGGTGCAACAAAATCAGTATGATTGATCATTATCCACCCTTTTAACAGGAATCCATGATAAGTGGCCAATTGCCTACACAGCGCCCCCTATATTATTCCTACAGTTATTTCTCAGTGATACATCATATGATCTGAACCAGATTTATTGTGCGTCATCAGTGAGCATGTCTAGACACATTGATGTTGTAGTTTAACATGGGACTCCAGTGCGCCCCCTAGATTATTCCAACAGTTATAACTCAGTGATACATCATCCAATCTGCACTAGATTTATTGTATGTGATCAGTGAGCACTTTTACACACATTGGTATTGTTGATTCATGACATGACTTAAGCCCAACCTACTCAGAGAAAAAAACTGTTGATTATTGGATGACTCTTACAGCTTAGCCATGTATAAGATATTAGACTGAAACTTTGTTCGCTAACTGTTCATTATCACACATGACATGTTGAAAAGCATAAAGGAAGTGAACAACTAAGTCCATGCTCAATAATCCAGGCATACAATACAACATTTTTCAGTCAGGTCATCTGGACAGTTTCTTTTTTTGTGCTGAAACGTTTCGTCTTAGATCTGGAAGGCTTCATCAGTCAAAGGCGAAATGTTTCAGCACAAAAAAAGAAACTGTCCAGATGACCTGACTGAAAAATGTTGCATAAAGGAAGTGTTTGTCAAACATTCACGACAAAACAGCAAGTCACAGTGACTCTTGTCTTGAAGGTCAGATTTCACCTATACTTTTAAGACCTGAAGCTGAACAAGTACTGACATGGATGATTCTGTGTGTGTCGATTAGAAGCATACTGTGCATGTATGGCTGACAAGTCAAGTCAGATTTATTTATAGAGCACATTTAAAACAGAAACTGTTACCAAAGTGCTTAACAAAAATATCACAACATCAAATAAAAAGTAGCAAGATATATTTACAGCGCATTGAATAAAAATATAAAACCGAAAACATAATTAGAAACAATGAAATACTAAATCAGATCACGTTGTGTCAAAAGTCAAGGAAATAATAACAAAAAGCATAAACTCAGTCAGAAACAATGTAATACTAAATCAGATCTGATGACCTTGTGTTAAATAGGAATAATAACAAAAGCATAAACAGAATCAGCATCAATGAAAAACTAGATCTAAATCCAATCACCCTGTGTTAAATGTCAGTGAGTACAGATGTGTCAGTGAGTACAGATGTGTCAGTGAGTACAGATGTGTTTTTGAGGAGAGATTTACCAGCAGAGACTGAGGTGGCCTGTCGAATGTTGATGGGCAGATTGTTCCAGAGTTTAGGGCCCACGACTGAGAACGCTCGATCTCCTCTGAGCTTCAGCTGGTTTTTGGTACGGCCAAAAGCAGCTGGTCTGATGATCTCAAAGCCCGAGAAGGAGCATAAGGATGAAGAAGGTCGGAGAGGTATGAGGGTGCGAGGCCGTTAATGCACTTGAATGTCAGCAGGAGAATTTTAAAATCAACTCTGCCACACACAGGAAGCCAGTGAAGGGAGGACAGAACCGGAGTAATGTGCTCAAACCTGTGAGTTCCTGTTAGTAGTCGAGCTGCAGCATTTTGTACGAGCTGGAGACGTGAAAGTGAAGCCTGACTAACCCCAACATAAAGTGAGTTACAGTAGTCCAGCCGGGTTGTAATAAATGCATGGACTAGTTTTTCAAGGTCAGATCTGGACAGAACAGACTTCAGCTTTGCTATCTGCCTGAGCTGAAAGAAGCTTTTTTGTAGAACAGAGTTGATCTGTTTATTAAACTTAAAGTCTGAGTCTAACACTACCCCGAGATTGGTAACTGACTGCTTTAGATGAGGCTGAAGGGAGTGCAGGTTTACAGGATCAGTGACAGTGGTAGAGCTTGGGTTAAACACAATGACCTCAGTCTTCTGATCTTTAAAACTCAAGAAGTTCGCATCTGATCTTTAAAACTCAAGAAGTTCGCAGCCATCCAAGTCTTGATGTCATCAAGACATTTTAGCAAAGGGTGGATGGAGCAAGAACTGTTTGGTTTTAAAGGCAGATAAATCTGAGAATCATCAGCGTAACAATGAAACAAAATACCATGTTTCCTCAGGATTGACCCCAAGGGGAGCAGATACAATGAGAACAGAAGGGGTCCAAGAATGGAGCCTTGTGGGACCCCACAGGAAAGAGGGACAGAAGCAGAAAAATGATTGTCAAAGTTAACACAGAAACTCCTGTCACCCAGATAAGAACGGAACCATTCTAGCGCCACCCCTGTAATCCCAACCCAGTGTTCTAGCCGAGACATAAGGATGCTGTGATCAACAGTGTCAAATGCAGCGGTAAGGTCGAGGAGTACCAGGATCACAGACTGACCAGAGTCATTCACTAGCAGAATGTCATTACAGACCCTTACTAAAGCTGTCTCAGTGCTGTGCAGTTGTTTAAACCCTGACTGAAAAATCTCAAAAATTTAATTTACATTCAGAAACTTGGTTAGTTGACTAAAAACTATTTTCTCCAAGATTTTAGAAAGAAATGGAAGTTTTGAGATTGGCCTGAAGTTTGAACAAGCTGCAGGGTCAAGTCCGGGTTTTTTAATTAATGGAGTTACCACTGCATGTTTTAAAACATCAGGGACCACACCTGTAGCCAAACTGCTGTTAATAATGGCAAGAACAGAGGGTCCAGTTGACGGTAGAACCTGTTTAAAAAATGCAGCAGGGATGGGATCAGCAGGGGAGCCTGAGGGTTTCATGTGACCAACGACCTCATTTAAAAATGAGAGTGAGATGGGGTCAAAGTGACTGAAGACTACTGAGCAGGGGACAAGAACTGTAGGGTCGGCTGTGGAGTGTGGAATTGATGACCTAATCGACTCAACCTTTTCAACAAAATGCCTGACAAACTTATTACAGGTGTCAACAGAGGCCTCAATGGTGGCAGACTGAGGCACGTTTAGAATGGTGTTAATGGTGTTAATGGTGTTGAAAAGAACGTGGGGTTGTGACTGTTTGAGTTGATAATTTTTGAGAAATATTTGTTTTTCTCCTGTTTAATGGTGGTCTGATAGGCTTTCCAACATGATTTTAACACATCAATGGAAACCTTGAGTTTTATCTTTTTTCCATCGACGTTCAGCTCTTCTGCACAGGCGTCTTGCCTCTCTTGTGGTCTCATTTACCAAGGGTGGGTAGAGCAAGAGCAAAGGTATTAATGTAGATAAGTTTAAGTACCTAAGTTTAAGTAACCCTGGTTTTGGAGATGGTGGAATAATGGGTGGATGTTAGAGATGGGGTGAGATAAAGGCAAATGATCCATTGTGGAAACCCTAAAGGGAGCTGCCCAAAGAAGACTAATTTTAGTCTATTTATTCCCAGACATCTTTGGAAAAATTAGATGCAATTTAGACCACATTTAAACTAAAAAATACCCAATTGGTAAATTCAAAGTCAAGGTTTCTACGTTCTGTTACTTCAACTAACATGTGTATTAATTTTTGACTGATTGTATTTACTGAGCTTTCAGATAATTTGCATTGATTTTTGCTACCTTTTTTTTTCTGAAATCACAGTCATACCTGCTAGAGTGAAATATAATGTACTTGTAGCCCACTTGGTCTGCTGTACAATCCCAACAGATACAGAGCCCAAATGTAGTTAGTCTTAGAGCTTAGACTGCTCTGGTTCTGGCTGCGGGTCTGTATATAATTGTATAGGATTAGGATTTCCTCAAACATCAATCAAGGCAATGCTTCTCATTACATGAGCTGTAATTCCATTAACCCTACTATGCATTCTACAACCACAAACCCCACTTTTATTTTCCTCATACCTTCTTTTTTTTGTCTTCGACCAAAGGTGATGGTTGGGTTCTTATCTTTCTTTTTATCCTCTTCCTTCCTTTTGGACTGTAACTGAAGTAAGAACTCATATTCTTGTTAGAGCACATAATAAACTGGGATTATTTACAAGTTTTCAGTTTGTCTTTTTTCCATACTTTACATTTTTTTACTACCCATGGCTCAGCCCACTTTGTTCTGTTACACATTATTTCATGTTTTAGTCTCATCTCCTCACTTTCACTGTTGTGCGTTGAAATAATTTGCAATATTTTGTCTTGTTTAAATATGGTCATTTCAAACCCTTCTTTTCTGTTTTATCTGTTCTATGTTCCCCTTTATATTTTTCCTTTTGTTGTCCCCCCTCTTCCATTGTCTTTCCTACAGGTGGTGAGTCAGCGGTTCCCACAGAACAGCATCGGTGCCGTAGGGAGTGCCATGTTCCTACGCTTTGTTAACCCAGCCATTGTGTCTCCCTATGAGGCTGGCATCCTCGATAAGAAGCCCCTACCCAGAATAGAACGAGGCCTTAAACTTATGTCCAAGGTAAGACTGGTCTTGGTTCTTTGTTTGTTCTGACAGAAGAAAATCAATGATACAGGCACCTTCCTTACTACTCTGGGAGTTTTTAAAAACTGTCATTTTCTGTTAACTTCCAACCACACACAGATATGATTTTTGGTGAGAAAAGGTTTATTTGATTAAACGAATATCGATTGGATCAAAATACAGGAAGGATCTCAGGCTAAAATAATAAAGACCTGAAGTATTTGGAAAGACTAAAATGAGCTCAGGAGAGGACATTTGATAAATCATTGACATAACTTCACAAACACAATATAAAAATGAACAAATACATCAAAACATGGCAATATATGAAGACTTAGAGTTTAAAATATACAATGTTGAAGATGTGATTGATACAGATTTTTTCCCTGCAATAAAAGACTGAATATTATAATGAAGAACAGTTTAATGACATCAAT